AAAAAAAAAAAAAAAAACATAGCTTTAGAAAAGCTGACGTATATTGTTTTAAAAAATTTGCTATATTTGTTTTTTTTTGATTCGTATACCATTATGCAGAAAATGTAAACTGCTGCTGTCGTCTGTTTTCTGTTGTCATCCAAGAAGACTGTTGACTGAATGATAGGATATACTGCCAGATGAACGATACTGTCGAAGAAACGTTTTTTTTTTTTGCTTTAATTTTCAACCTCCACCGATAGTAGCTTGCCATGTCGACCAGTTTCTATAATCAGAATCTGTTTTTTTTTGTTAAATTTTTATTTGATCTACAAGATGCTACACAGTTTTTTTGTTTACCTTTTTTTTTTTTATTTAATCCACAAAAAAAAAAGGTTAGTCAAAGTTCTCCGAAAAACAAGTATCAAACATTTATAGAATCCCAGAGTTTGATCTATTCACTCGCTCACTGTACGGTTGAACGTAGTCGTTGAAAAATGACTCTCATTTCTTACTTACTTCAGGTTTTTTAATAACTCTTATTTTGTTTAAATTAATACTGAAAAAAAGAAAGCTTTTAGCAATTAAAAAACTTTTTATCGTTTCTTCTTTCTTCCTAATCATATAGCTCTTGAAAAAAACGACCAATATAAAGAAGATAATTTATTACTGATAAGTAATTTATCGAATATGAAACATCAGAAAAAAATGATTTTTTAAAGAGCTCCTTGTTAAATGTTTTCTTGACAGAATTATAGTAGCAATTTTCCTTATATTTTTAAGTCTAATTTTTAAAATTAAAGTTAAGTTTTCTTTTTAAAATAAATTTTGACTAAGCAAAAAAATTAGACAAGTTATGCTTGATAACAATTTCTACGAGACAATTCAGTGTCTATTTGCTGAGCACCTCAAATTGACGGTATACTGTAAATTCGGAAAAAAATGTGTTTTTTTTTTTTACTTTTACTATCATACTTCGTCATCCTGATTTTACTTTATTGAGCCTTTTTAGAATTTATCTGGCACCGTTCTGATGCCAAAAGTAAGACAAAAAGAAAAAAGAGACGAATGTAACTATAATAGTATAAAAATTGAACAGCTATAGGTTTCATTTGAAATTGAAGGAAAAGGAATATTGCAGTTGTGAAATGATTAGTAATCTGAGAACGAAGTGGAGAGTGCAGTCATTTTTGGATTTGTTGGTAATTTGAAGAATCACTGTCAATAACTCAGATTCATTTTCGTGACTTCAACCCGTTTGCCGTCATTTGGAGAGAAAAAAAAACTGTATTTGCTGAAGCCAACGGTTTTCTTCAATTTTTTTTTAATATTAGCGAGTAGTTGTTGTTACAGATACAGAAAAAGAAGAAAAAGAAAAAACAAAAAAATTTTTTAGAATTTTATCTATTGATTATAATCTTTTGTAAGCTTCTAAAATTACCTCTCTAATTTAGTCGAGACTATAACGTGCACTGGATTTCTAACGTTGCCGTTATTTTTAAATTAAATATTGTTGCCTTTAGAACCTTGAAAATCAGACAGGATACAATTATTCTGATAATATTCCATGGCATCTCTCAATATTCATTTGAAGTTATTTATTTTATCTTTGTTCGTTAATAGTTTGTAACGCTTTATTATGATATGTCGAAAAATTTGGATAGACAAAAAGTGTTCTCGCTTAACAACAATTATCTATTTCAACAGCAATAAGATTTCAAATCAAAAAATTAGATCTTTTATGTTGTAAATTAACATTTATTGCTACTGCATAGCAAGAAACAACAATTTCGTGTCAAATTTGCTGCCTCTTCAACCTCCTACAACTTGTTTATTTCAATAACTTTGTCAAAATAAGGTTGTCCAGACGAACTGTTCTGAAAATTAAGAAGAAAAAGCAATGTTCTAGGGTTTTTTTAAGGATGTCAAATAAGTTGTTCATGTAATATTCAATAGTAGCTGTTACTAACGTTCTCTATACGCTGTAAGAACTGACGAATCCTAAATTATCCTACCAGCTGTTCTTATTTTTTACTGCTTTTTCAAATAACAGGTTATTTTATTAGTTGCTTGCTATCAAAAAAGTCTTTTATTTTACAGGGGATATGTTCAGCAGGAAAGGATACTACTAGGTGGAAGAGAGAGTTGAGTAGAAGGTCGCTGTTGCCACGAGATGCGCTTTGACTGCGCGGAGAGGCGATTTTCGAACCTCTTTGCAAGGTACATTCGGTATGTCGTCGCGTATCCATGGCCATTCATCATTCCTCCATTTCTGCTAGCATTAGCATTAAGTACGGGACTTCTAAGGCATGGGCAAGCTTTTATTAAGGACGAACTCGATCTCTACACACCGACAGATGCTCGAGCTAGGCAGGAGTTCCAGCAGCTGGATACACTGTTTCATATCAATGATTCGGATCCATTCTATGCCACAAGAAGGTCAACTAAATTTTTTTTAGGCCAAATGTTGTCAATGATCATTATTCAGTAACCCAGTAAATGCAGTTTTTTGGGAGGGAATAAAATTTTTTTTGAGTTGACTACATTACTTTTAAGGACAAAGTGGTACTTTTTAATCAAGGCAAGAGACAGCAAATTGAAGTAAAAAAAATAGGAATAGTTTTAGTCAATATATATGCAAGACCTCTGAACTAGCCCTTGTACAGTTATATCGATAAAAGGGCAGGTTAAGTAACCGTATTAATCGTAAGTAACTTTAAAAAACTGTACATTTAGTAATTAATCTGGTTGAAGGTTTTGAGGTTTAAAGTCATAACTTCTTCCAACAGGACACTTAAACTTACTGATATATGGTTGTTCAGATACGATATAAAACGCGCTGGATACATAATTGTAACCAGCAGTATTGATGGCCAAGACATCTTGAATCCATTGGTAATGCATGCAGCAATGCAACTGTGGAGTATCATACAGTCACTTACTGTAGAAGATCATAACGATAGACGAATTAATTATCCATCAATATGTGTCAAATTTCCTATGCCGCCAGAATTTGGCAAAGCGCTTCACACATTTTTGTCGCCAAATATGTCAACGTAAACGACAAATTTTCGAACACTATATTTTCTTAGCTCTTCAAACACTCCACGAGAAACGTTCCTTGCAAACGCTAAACAGTTCTAATATTTAGCTACTTAATTAATTGCCAAATCAAGTGCAAATTTTTCTTTTTGTTTTTGCAGACCTGAAGAGATATGTGTCTCGAACCCACTAGTCGAAACTTTTAAATTTATTCTACTTAGCGACAGGTCTGTATTAAACCATTCAATCGATGAGATAACTCTTGGGCAAATTAGCGATGCTATATCGTTTGATTCGTTAGGCATGACACATCTGCTTGGCGGAGTTACATTAGATAACGAAAAAAGAATATCCGGTTAACTTATTTCTTAATTTTTTCTTTCAAAATTTTCTCTTTGTTTTATGCAGAGAACATGTTTATCAATGTTTTTAATAGATATATGGAGTTCAAAAAATAACTAAGGTTTCGAAATGAACTTTTTATTCAGGTGCAAAAGCAATTATGCTTCCGTATGCGTTAAGGCATTCCTCAGAGGTCGAGGATTGGTTAGCTGAAAAATGGGAGCTAAAATTAGCTGATTTTTTACTAGAATATAATTCGCCTGTTATTCGGACATCCTGGTGGACATATGAGACACTTGCATCAGAGAGTGCCCGAGATCGTGAACAACTGATAAGGTGAAAAACGTATTTACAGCTAGTTGTTTTTGCGGTCACTTGTTTTTAACACTTCTGGACCCGTCAGATGCGGCTATCAAATTATTTCAGAATGCTCTTGCCATGTTTCATCGTCGTCTCGTTGTACACAATTGCATGCTGCTGTTTGGCTTCATGGGTCCGATCCAGGCCATGGCTTGCAATCGGCGGTGTCATCAGCGCAGCAATGGCCATCGTCAGCGGTGTGGGACTTCTGTTGCTGTGTGGTTATAATATGACCAGTGTAGCATATTCCATGCCTTTTATTGTTTTTTGTAAGTTTTTTAATATCATATTTGTTTTATCATTTCCAATTTTCAATTATATTGCTGCTAATTAAACAAATAAACAATCAGTTAAAATTATATGTTAAGAGATCCTTTTTTTTTTTGACCTCATGGTTAACTGTTTATTTTTATTCTTTCTTTGTTTTTTTTTGTATTCTGAAAAAGCGGAAGTTGGTTAATTCTCAAAAAAAAAAAAA